AAGATGAGTAACGGAAGCATCTCAACTTGAGTAATTTTGTATTTGAAGAATCACACAAAGCCTGGAGTGTAAGCTGTATCTTCTATGTACTTCTAGAGTGATAGCTGTATCTATCTTGGAGGGTAGGAAGGTTCTGCAGAGGGATCTGGACAGGCTGGATCAATGGGCCGAGGCCAATGATATCATGTTCAATAAGATGAAGTGCCAGGTCCTGCACTTGGGTCACAACAATCCCTGCAGTGCTACAGGCTTGGGAAAGAGAGACTGGAAAGTTGCCAGTCAGAAAAGGACCTGGGGGTGCCGGTCAACATCAGCTGAACATGAGCAAGCAGTGTGCCCAGGTGGCCAAGAAGGCCAGTGGCATCCTGGCCTCTATCAGGAATAGTGTGGCCAGCAGGACGAGGGCAGTTATGGTCCCCCTGTATTCGACACTGGTGAGGCCACACCTCAAGTGCCCAGTTCTGGGCCCCTCACTACAAGGAAGACATTGAAATGCTGGAATGAGATCAGAGAAGGGCAACAAAGCTGCTGAAGGGTATAGAAAGTAATTTCTGTGAGGAGTGGATGAGGGAGCTGGGGCTGTTTAGCCTAGAGAAAAGGATAGTCAGGGGAGACCTTATCACTCTCTACAACCACCTGAAAGGAGGTTGTAGCCAGGTGGGGGTTGGTTTCTTCCAGGCAACAAACAACAGGACAGGAGGACATGGTCTCAAGCTGTGCCAGAAGAGGTTCAGGTTGGACATCAAGTATGGAAGCGGTTGGTAAGAATTAGAATGGACTGCCCAGGGAGGTTGTGGAGTCACCATCCCTGGAAATGTTCAAGAAATAACTGGACGTTGAACTTAGTGCCATGGTCTAGTTGACAACGTGGTTTTCAGTCAAAGGTTGGACTCGATGATCTAGAAGGTCTCATATTCACTATTTAGTGTGCATGAAGGAATTAAAGCATTCTGAATTGAACAAGGGAGATTATGCTGATAAAACTGTAATGACCACAAAAGTAACTTACTGGGAATTACGCCAAACAAAAATAAGAGTGAATATTTAAGAAATCTGAGGTATATGAATGCGTGAGAAGGAGAAATAAGTCATGGGAAATTAATCATCTTCTTTTTATAAGCTTCATGGTACTCACGCAGTGCAAATATTTATCTACTGCGTTGGTAGCAAAGTGGTGGAACAAGTTAGGCAACTATTTGCAGGTTATTCCTATATATAAAAATCCATCATTAAGTTACATTGCCAAACAACATGTTTAGAATTCTATTTTTAAAAAATCCCACAGCTCAGAAAATATTAATTTGACTTCTAGGACACCTGTTCACAAAATTACTTAGAAACAGTCATTTCTAAATAGCCTTCTGTTGATTTTTGTTTTTTCATTCCTGTATATGTATGTTTGCCCTTTAGGCACATCTTTAATTCTCAGGGCTGTTCCCAGCATCTTCCTTGCACAAAAGTATTACAAGAACTTTAGGTGACATTTTGATTCAAGTGAGCTAAACTATAAAAGGCAATATTGTGCCTTGAACAAGAAAATTAAGAAAGATCTGACTTCAAAATTTAGTTATTTAGTCCAGCAGTCCCCCAGGGTAACATGTTTCTTGCATATATGTTTATATGCTTTATAAGAGTATCTTAATACCATAGAAAACAATCTATCAACTATAAAATGTGAAGAGCATTTTAAAACATGTATTCTTCATGTGATTTCTCTGTGTAGAGCCACTGACTGACTGACTCAGTATATAATTAACATTACCCAGAAGGAAGAAAATTTTTATCTCACTAAAACTTGCTATGTTTTATTTATTAAGATGCAGGTGACCACATGTTTTAGACTAATCCTTCTCACATATCATTTTTTAGGCATGTTGTGACACTTTATTGTTACAAATAGCAGTTCTTAAAAATGAGTTTATAATAACTTACCTCAGAGGTCTGCGTCTGCACTTCTCAGCAAAAGGTTAAAACTTCAACAAACAGTAGCACTAAAATGTGAAGTGAAAAGAAATTAAAACCAAGAACTGTTATTCTCATATATCAGTCAAAGTAAGAAGGTTGTATGCATGGAGTTCTAGGAACTATAGTTTCTCTTAAAATAAATAACCTGTCCAACAGCTTTATGTCTCTGTGACAGCAGCGCTGAAAAGATTACTTATGGGAAACTCAGAGTCTTTGTTAGAGAACAATACATATTAGATATTTAAAAAGTTCAGCAAGAAAAGCCCCTTAAGATTTTAATAACAAAGATCAGATTACAGCTTTTGTCCTATTCATTTAATGTGTTTCTTTTTTTCAATAAGATGAAAGTGATTTAGAGTAAGTAGATCAAAATCAGTGGCTCCCAATGTGGTTTATGCTCTAAGAAACCTAAGCTTTCTTACACTGTTAAAGGGTGCCTAAGAAAAATCCATAAAAACAGTATCCCACAATGGTCAAGCATATAATTTCTCTTGCTACAAACAATAACAACATCTTGAAACACACAATCACAAAATTACACTTTTCTATAGCCTGGAGGTATTTCAAAACTTCCTACATGCAAACCAAGAGCTCTTCAGTCAGCTGTCTTCAATTCTGTATCACAGCAGCTACTTGCAGCCAGCATTTCATGTGCCTGGCAGGCATCATACATGCTCTGCATACCCACAGGCAGTGGCTCTGAACACAGGCACACAGCAATCATGCTAATTCCTGGAACCGTCAGATAATTGCACATATGCTAATCACCTACCATGAGGACTTAGTAACAACCTCTCTGGATATGGGAAGCATCAGAACCAAATTGCCACGACTAGCACTAATTCAGCTGTGTCTTGGATAAAGCACTGAGTGAACATGTGCACTTGATCTACCTACAGGGTAGAATGGATCTACAGGATAGTCTTCTTTCAACCACAGAAGAAAGTATTAAGCAAGTGATGCAAACCATTAAAGACTATTTCTTAAACAGAAGCTTGGATCCAGAACCCAGTCCTAAAATTCCTATATTCAGAAATCCTTCAAACACTTAACAATGCCCTTTTCAAATGCCTGAGCAACAGCATCTCAACTAAAGCAATATTAAAGATAAAACAAAGAAATCAAACAGAATTACAGAATTGATGGAAAAGACCTTTAAAGTTATAAACCAGTAAAGAGCATTGTAATCTCACTTCCTACTTGTTTGCACAAGCCACACCACAATTTCAAATATGATGTTAGAAGTGGATATTATTAAGCTTTACCTAACTGATCTAAGAATAGAAGCAATTATGTTGGGTTTAACAGAAACCAGTATCTACAAATACTAACACAATCATGCATTATTTATGTTGCAATAGCATCCTGACTTTCATAGGAAAATAAACAGAAAGGGAAAAAAATGTATCTTTCTCCTTAACTTTGCCCCTAAAGGCATTTCCTTTAGGAAACCATGGTAATAACGGCATCCGTTCCTAAATCAAGTAAGGTAAAAAAAAAAATTAAACTCCACTCCAGGTATCTGTGGAGTTGAGATTTTAGTTTTTGGAGCTGTTTGTACTAAAGTGGTACTGTGGCTTCCATCGGCCTTAAATTCTGAAGAAATATTAATGTCCTGGGCACAACAGAAAGCTGTACAAACACTGCAATACTGCACTGTTACCTTGGAAATCTGGCAGATGACATTTAACAAAATTAGTTATTCAGTTTACCAGAAACAGATTTTTGTTTTCAACAGCTGAACTAAAATTAGTCCAAAAGTCATCCATAATGAATCTGTATCTATTAATTTTGAGATATTTAACACAAACATACTTGTTGCAAAAATACTGCATTCTTTCTAGCACCAGAACAGAAAAACAAAAAGACCCCTTTCTCTTTGCACATCTTTCTTGCTCACTTTTTCTTCTAATGCTTGTTGGTGTTCTGCATGCCCTTTGAAACATCTTACCGCTGTGATTATACATCTACAAAGTTTAAATTGTAAGCTTCAACTCAAAAAAAAAAAAAATCTGGGATTAAGTTTGACCTTACTTCTACTAAACAAACTTTATGCACCACCACAGAAACAAAACTCCCAAGAAAACAAAAGGTTTGGAGGTAGGGCAATGCATATTACCTTGAGGATACTTAATGGACTTTGAAGACAGAAGTACAGAAGCAAAAGTGAAGAGGTTTCACATTTTCACTTTTCCCTAGTGGAAGAGCAAGTTATGACAACGTGAACGCCATCTAAGGCTTGCCTTATATATATTATGTAATCACAATGAAGCAAGAAAACAACCACCCACTCAAGCAGCAGCTCAGGAAGCACAGCATGTGGTTTTCAGGAACGACGCTGACTCTCAACAGCCTCCTCTCTTAAGAGATGAGGATGCTTTTCAGAGTCGCGATCATAGCGCCACAGAGACTGGCACTGCGGACTCAAACCTTCCGGCCTAGAGCTTCAGCTTCGCCAAGCTCCGCTGCCTGCGGGATGGCGGGTCAGGGGCGATGCCCCGAGCCCCGCAGCAGCGCCGGGCAGCGCGCCCGTGTCCCGGCGCAGGGAGCGGGGCCGCACCTGGAGCAGAGGAAGCGGCCGCGGGCGCCTGCAGCCCTGCCCTGCCCTGCCCTGCTCTGCAGCCCAGCACAGCACGGTTCTCGCTGGACGAGGCTGGCGGGCCGAGAGCGCAAACCCCGCTGCAAAGGGGCCGGCACACGGCCAGGGGACTCGCCCTGGGGCACGGGCCGGACCACAACCCTCCTCACCTGCAGCGGCGGCGCTTCCGCACCCCGAGCCCGAGCCCGAGCCCGAGCCCGACCCCCAGCCCGCCGCGGCCACGCCCGCTCCAGCCGGACCCGCCCGCCCCGCCCGGAGCGCAGGCGCAGAGCCCCCCGTCCGTCCCGCCCGCTCCGCGCCCTGTGCCGGCGGGCCGGGGCCCGGCGTGGCTCCGGGGCCGGGGCCGCGCAATGGCCGGTGCTCGGCACGGCGGGCGGGCTGGCGGGCCGGCCGGCCCCTGCCCTTGTGTGCCCCCGCGCCCGGGCAGGGCCGCGGGGCGGAGCGGCTCCTCCGGAGGCGGGGGGCGGTGCTGGCGGCGGCGATGGCGACGCTCATGGCGGTGCTAGCGCGGTCCTTTCGCCGCGGTCCTGCCGGCCAGGGGCTGCGGCTCCGGCGGGAGGCGACGGGCGGCCCGTGGGGCCGGGGCCGGACGCGGAGCGAGGTAGCCGGGGTGCCGCTCGGGGCGTGGGAGCGCGACCGCTCCCAGGGGCTTCTTGGAACGGGCTGGCGTGGGGGTAGTGGAGTCACGGCCCCTGGAGGTGTCTAAGGAAAGACTGGGCGCGGCACTTCGTGCCTTGGTCCGGTCGACATGGTGGTTCGGTCATGGGTTGGACTCGATGATCTCAGAGGTCTTCGCCAACGTGATCGATGCTGTGATTCCCGCGGGCTGTGCCGCCGGTCGCCCCGCGGGGCCGCTCCCCCGCGGCCGGGGAGGCGGCAGCTGCGGAGGCTCCGGCATCGCGGGGCGTAGCGAAGGGCTGGTGTGGCTTTGGAAAAGCTGGGAGCCCTGTGCTCGTCTGAAGAAGAGTTCGCTTTTTTTGCTTCTTACCTTGTCTTTACTCCATATCTGTGGTTTATTTTCAGTCTAGCGCGGTGGTCGCTTTCAAGCGTAATCATGAGCTTCTGTTGAATATACTTAAAATACCCTCTTGACGACCTGTTTTGTCTTATGAAGGTTTTTTAACATTTAAAAGTCTTTTCTTTACTCAAAATCTGAAATATAACCGGTGCTACAGAGAAGAAAAACCTTTTCAAACTCAGAGTGATAATGTTAATATCTATTTTATGATCCCACGCAGGTGCTTAGAAAAAGCTTTCAAAAGGGGCTTGTGCTGTCAACAGGGTCCTTTTTGGTTTATGAAGCTCATAAGCTGAATTTTGGCTTTGCTGAGGTTCATGCAAGCTTCAAAGGTAATATTTTCAAATTTTGAAGTATGTAGGATATTCTGATGTGAAAGCCAAAAATTTTAGTGCAAGAATTATGGAAGAAAATGCTGTAATGATTTTTGATTTTCTCCAATAAGACTGCATGCAATGTGATTTTATGACAGGATGTTTTTGCATTGTTTATGGGTAGCCTTGTAGCAGTTTAACAAGTGATCCTTTCAGCTGTCACTGAAAGCAGATCTAGTAGCTCATCCTGACGGGGATAGAACACATGCATAAGGTGTGTGATACCTAACTTACTGCCCAAGCTTTAAATAACTCGTACTGAAAAGATATAGTTCAGTTAGGAACACAGATGAAAGATTGATTGATTTCTAGAAATTTTAGTTAATTTGGCTTTTCAGTACAAAAAAAGTGTGATTCACATTTTATCCAGTTGAACGATACTGAGATTGCATCTCAAAGAAAATTGAGAAATGTCTTGTATTTTTATGACACTTCAAAGCCCTACTTTCCCAGAAAACAATATAATAAGTGATAAAATACCCTTTTCAAGTTTGAATAAGGATAGTTTCACTGCTGGAAGAACAGTAACAATATCTTGAAAGGGGATATTGTTGCAAACTTAGAACTTGTCTATCACATGGTAAATTAAGGATTTTGAGAGTAAGCCTAACTGGATAGACAATGAGCCTGACTTGGTATAAGCATACTGTGTAGATCCTTATAGAAATAAAAATTCAGACAATTAATTTTTTAACAAATAAATAAGGAATTCCTCATTTCTCATGAGGAACATAAATAACACTGTGTAGTCACCTCTGGTCTTTTTAGTGCTCCCACTTAAATCTGGCATTTACATTGCCAAGAAAAGCAATGGTTATGGGCTTTCTATGCAAAACAAGTAATAGATAAGGTGAAAATAAGAGTAAAATAGAAATACCTGAAAAATGCTCCAAAGCAATGAAAGTATAATAATTTGCATAAAAACACCTCGTGGGAAATGTGTTCAGAGTTTTGAGCATTTAGTCATAAGATATGTTAGTAGTGTTCAGATCAATAAGCAAACAGATCAATAAGTAACAGTTTACTGAAGATAATACTGAAGATGTACCATGAAGCTCATTTTAAACACTCAGATCTAAAGTCCAGGTAGACTTTATCTTATCTTAGAAAGATAAGATATTTAGAGACAGCAAGGTTAAAAATTATCCAGATTTATAGTCTAGGATCTTTTTAAGCTGAAGAGCAGGGTTTTGTGTTTAATAAGCTTTAATGTTTTCCTTTTTACATTGAGGAAAATTCTGCTGCCGTTAAATGTGTCCACCCTATTTACTAGGTAACTTCAAAAAAGAAAGCTTATAAACATGATTAATAAAGGGGGTTAGACCTTCTATTGTGTTAAGTATCCAAAGCTGTCTTGCTAAAAGCTGTTGTAGTTGCAGTAGAGAGGCACTGATTCTCATCTTAGCTGAGCATTGTATATGTTGCTTATTCAATCCTTCTGTGCCTGTAAATTGTTTGGAATGATGGCCTAAAAAAGAGCAATATCATTTTCAGCTAGGCTTTCTTGCTCTAAAATATTTTGTTTATGCTATAATGTCCTAATTACCTGTAATTTGTTCTTCTGTTTCCCCAATATTAATTCCTTCTTAAGTGGAAGAAGTGATAGAACAAGCAGACTACCTGTATGGGAGTGGAGAAACTGAAAAGCTGTATCGGTTGCTGGTTCAGCATAAAAATAGGTACTTCGTTGCATTGCGATATTACTGTGACTTCTTTTCTGTGCTCTTTTGTATCAGTTTTCCACCAAATATTCTCACTGTGGTTTGCTGGAGAACCTTGCTTTCACCCTTATGTGAGTAGGAAAGGATTCTTAATCTTTTCCCTCCTACTGGAAAAATATGAAAAATGAATAAAGCTGTAGCTGTAGAAGGTGAGGGTTAACCCTTAAGTTTTCCAGTCCTGCGAAGGAGGGGTTTTTGCTTGTTTGACTTGTTACTCAAATTTTAAATAATTTAAAAATTACTGCAAAAGCTCATAATGTGTCTATGCATTAGTAAAGGATCAAGGTACCTAGAATTCAGGTGTTGAAAATTTTTGAGTCACTGTTTCATTTCTTTTTCACTACTGACCAGCTATTCTTTCTGTTTTCATTTGTCTAATGTTAGGATTTGAGTCTGAACAAAAAAAGGCCCTTACTCATGTAGTTATGTCTTATGTGCACAAAACATTAAGTGAACTGGGATAACCCGTTTAAAGAAAAAGCAGAAAAGGGATTGCAAACTTAAGAGTCCATTCTTTTGGAGGAGACAAAACATCTCACTCCAAAAACATTTTGGTGGAAACCAATTGTTTGGTTCTTTTCAGTAGTTGCAGATTTTTTTGTTTTGTTTGGTTTTTTCAGTTCTTTTTGCACTCCCTTGTTCTTGCCAGGAGTGCAAGTGTAAAATCTGTGAAGTTAAATGAAGTTCCCAGGCTGTTAGGGACAGCAGATCATAAGTGAGGTGTAAGCTTGTTACTAGGTGTATAACAACACTAATTATTCTCTGAGGAGTAATGATTCCAGTAGCAGCACTTAAGATTTTTGTGACTTAGCTGAAAAATGAGCCTTCCAGTTCTGTGTTACTCTGTTGAATAGAGCAGGACTGCTGTGCTGTGAGCAGTGACTCACTGTTACTCCAGATGAGAGTAGAAAACTGATACTCTGAGTTTAGCAATAATTCTTATATGCTTTTAAATACTTTTACTTTCTCATAGTTTTGACTTCAGTGTTCCAGGGTTGGAGGTTTATAGCCACTTAGACAAAACCTCTGAAAGACTTTAAGTCTCTATTAAAACGGCAAGCCAAAATTAAAATGGTTGTTCTCTAAATGTGCAAGCAGTGTTTCATAACAATGTGAACAAAATAAAATTTTAGATCCTTTATCTTTGGCTATAACCTACCATACACCATTTGATAAAGTGATATAAATAAATACATAAACATAAAGCATTATATACTGGTGGTGTGGCTAATCTTTGTTTTTTCACTGTTGTTCTAGGAAGAAGTTAATTATTTCAGTATAATTATAGGGAAAAGATTGATAGTGTTTTAAATATTCCAAGTAAACGTCAATACAAATCAGTGGAATGCTGAAAAAAATACCATCTAGCTAAGAACAGAGTAGTCCTCTTTTCTTTCTGGTGTTTTGAGTGGTACCTTTATTTTTTTTTAATCTTAATCTTTGAGGTTTTTTGAGAAAACAAAGACCTTTCCTACAGACCCGTTTGCTTTGCAGACCAGAATGGCAGAACAGAGGTATTGTCAGGCAGTCGGTAATGGTGGGTTTTCATTTGCTATTTGTTATCTTGGGGTTGTATATAGCAAAGCAGGACAGATGTTGTCTTATCACCCACTTGAGATACATTTTGAAAGACTAGTTTAAGACCTTTGCTTGCTTTGTTTCCATTATTGCTTTAAAATGTTAGTGTTTCTCTTCCTAACCTAGTGATGATGCGGAGCTGTTGTGGCGGCTGGCACGGGCATCGCGAGATCTAGCTCAGCTTAGTAGTACTTCTGCAGAGGAGAAGAAACAACTGACGTATGATTCCCTTCAGTATGCAAAAAAGGCACTCGAAAAAAATGAATCAAATTCTGCAGCGCACAAGGTGAGCCATGCAAAATAACTGAAATCTTGTTTGTTGATTTCTGCTAGTAGAAACTGGAAATGTCGTTGTGCTGTGTTAGCAAACTTCAGCATAATTTAACTTTTCAGCTGAGAATGAATGAGACTTCTGATTCTCCCTAACTTCTTTGGAGGATCTGAGTTCAGACTTCTCCAGCTAAATTTCCTCTGTACAGGAAACAGAAACAGGTTAAATGTATGCAGGACCATGGAAAGAGCTGTGATTGATGGGGTTTATTACAGCAGATGTAATCAGCTCCTCTTCCTCTGATGTAGCCTTAAAAATGTTGTACATGTCCCACATTCAGCATGTTGTTTCTGTGTTCTATAGGGTTTCACTGGAAATACTTCAGGCCCTGCATTCATTCTGGCCTTTTTTTTTTCATGCTACTTCTCTCAGGGCAAAGGGTAGTCACTTGTGTTGACATCTAGAATCAGAAGAGGACATTTATTCCCTTACACATGCAGACCAGCAGGTCACACTGATGCTGCCTCAGCTGCTCACAACAAATACTTTTTGCTTGTTAGTCATTTGTGGTGGTGGCAGCCCTTCTGGTTGCAGGTTTTTTAAAATGTACTATTAATACCTATAGTGCTGTATTAAATGTTTTATTTCTGTTATTTGAATTACAGTGGTTTGGAATTTGCCTCAGTGATGTTGGAGATTATGAAGGAATCAAGACTAAAATTGGAAATGCTATTGTTATCAAGGAGCATTTCCAGGTAATGCAAACAAGTTTTTTGCATATGACAGCATTAATGTGTCCAGTATGTAGATTGTGTGACAGCTGGTAGCTAATTTTTGGCAAAATATTGAAAGTGTACTTCTGTTTATATCTCTAGTGACACTTTGGTTTTTTGGGTTCTTGTGATATACGCCCCAGAAATGCTGGGGAAACAAGGAGTACAAATTATCTCCTGCATTAAACTAAGTCCCTTTAAAAGGGAGTCTTGAAATAGCTGAAGTGCTTTAGACACCTCTTAGTACTAGATAAAATGTAACAGTGATATTGAGAAATGGTTGTGTGGCCATCCTTTGAATTGTGGATTATGTAGTGGTAAAGGACAAATACTGGAAAAGATAAGGTACTATTAATTTTATATCACCAGAGATTGTATCAAAATCTGAACCCACCAAGTCTCATATGCAACTTTTAATGACCTATTAAGCAGGAGCGCTTAGAAATCTGTCAGTGTTGTCAGTTTTTTGGAAGTGAGATGATGTAGTTGTGTACTGCATAAATAATATATTGCCTTGAAATTCTACACATGATCAGTCTGGTTTAATTAACCAGATATCAGGTCTACTTTTTAAATGTATTTTAATCCACATATGTCAGAACAACTTCTCATATCTTATGTTGTTTTTTTCTCCCCTCACCAGAGAGCCATTGAACTAAATCCAAAAGATGCTACAACAATTCATCTTATAGGGATTTGGTAAGGCATATTTTCAAACAAAATTTAGCATATGGCAAAGAAAATTGCCAGAATATCAAATATCTTATATGAATTGCAGAACTGCTTGTAATAATTTAGTGTCTTGTAATTGATGCAAACATGAAAACCTATTGAACAGGTATGGGACATCATGCCTTGAAAAAGTCTGGCTGTTAAGCAGTTAAAAAAGATGAAAAATAATTGTTCATTTAATTTATTTGTATGGAACTATTAAAAACTCGCTTTGCAGACATTAAGTTTGCTTCACAGAATCCATAGCAGGCGTTGGCAATTCTGAGTGCTGCTCATTTTGTTCTGCTGGTGTGAATGGAGTCAAAACTCAACACTGAATTTCTATCGAATTTCAGTGATGACTGCAACTTAATACAATCTGTGAAAAACTACCAAAGTACCAAAATACTCCTCTTGATATCTGTCACGAAACTGTATTTTAGAAGTTATATTAATAAATGGATTTATAAATTCATATATATTAACAAAAAATCTTTGACATTTAATTTGCTGCTCAGTGAAATTGGTACTAAAAATTACTGTTACATAGCAGGCAAAGGGACTGAAAATACACTTTCCATACAAACCAGGGTATTCTGTGGAAGTGGTATAATGGAAAGCAATATTTTTTATGTGTTGGTGAGAGACTCCAGGTAGCACTTTTGGTTATTTGTTTCAAAAAGACCAAAGCTGTTACATTGTTTTACAGGAAATCTTTGCTGTAAGATTGAGAGATTGAAAATAAAGAAAACTCATATATTTGCAGTTTAAAAAAATACTAAAAACCACAGTTATTTTCTCTATGGGTTTTTTGGACTCTTGAGTATCAGAGAAAACTACAATCTGCTGGTCCAGATTTTTTTATTAGTTTACAAACTTACTTTGGTTTTTCAGCATCCACCACTCATTCCCATATGGCGTAACAATTGCAATAGTCCAAATATCTAAACAAAAGCATATGCTACCAACTGACTGAGCCTCAAGGTCCATTTTGAGATAGGAAGCTTGTTCTGGAAAGTACTTATGACATTGTTCCTAAGGAAAATTAGAAAACATGGTAAGAAATGTGAGATTATTGCTGCTTTTGGCTCTAAAACATTCCCATGTTGTATGTTTAAATATACTCATTACTGAATCCCAGAGCATCTTCATCTGAAACTGGCATTTGGTATCAGCCAATTCTTGAATATTTATTAAATTTTTACCTCTTCTAGAGTGCTCTATTTTACATAATGCAACTGTAAACTCATTGTGGGAGGCTACTAAACTGAATGTTTAAGCGTTGTTTAATGTCTGCACCTGGAATGTTCTGTGGACTTGAAATGCTTCACAAATGTTTTCACCAATAAATAGGTGACTGATTGATTACCTGTGTTATTTAGTAGATAGGAAAACAGTATAGCATGACCTAGCCTAGAACACGGTGGTTTGATTCTTGGATTTATTTTCATTCTTATAGATCAGAGTCTTTCAGGAATGTACTGCAGATCTGCTTTATATTAATAATTGAAAAAAGCAAAGTAGTGTTGAGGTAAGGCAATGACATTACTCAGTTGTGCCATTTTTGCAAATATATTGGAACAAAATACACACATTAAAATCATTAAAGCTCAAAAGTTATCTCATGCTTAGCATATATCTCTAGTTTTACCTAATGTAATTAGTTCCCAGTAAAAGACACATCAAAACTTCTTTAGTAGCAGCTTCACACATCCTGCTGTTTTCTTGCACAGATGTAAAAATGTGGGTTTAGAACTTGCAGTGTGTCTGGAGTTTTGACTCTTGAAAACAACACTTATGACATCCAGTTTTTATGTTCAACACCAATTATAAGAATATTTCTCAAAAACAAGAGAAAAATGGGAAGAGTAGATATAAATGTTTCTTTTTGCTTCAGGTGTTACTCCTTTGCTGAAATGCCATGGTACCAAAGAAAAATTGCTGCAACGCTGTTTGCCACACCACCAACTTCCACGTTTCAAGAGGTACAGTAAGAAAATATTTCATAGATTATTATTTTGTCCACAAAGCTGTTGATACTCTTCTACTTATTTTCCTGTCAAAGCTGACCTCTGCTTATGGAATAAGCATGGACTTCAGAGTTTACAACTATCAATAATAAAGTAAGAATAGAACAGGAGAGTGAGTGATAACTAAAAACATAAAAACCTTTAAATTTTGTTTAGCTGTAGCACACACAGAATAGTGAAAAGTAATGTAGATTATGCAGCTGAAAATAACAAGCTCTGTGGAACTTTGTATTTACTGTTGTGATCTGTTGCAGATAACTGTCTGTTGTAGTGCAGTGCTGATGATTTATATGGTGCAGTTATACCATATATTTATTTGATAGGAATATTAGAATTTGTGCCTTTATATTAAATGCTAAAAAGCAACAGGTTGCTTTGTTACTTAATGTGAACAAATACCCCCTCATTCATTGGCCACATAGTGTGGGTTTTTTTCAGTTGAAAATAATTTTTTTCCTCTTGGTATGAAAATTCCTGCTGTCATACACCCTAAAACATACTGTCCAGATATTTATCTTCTAGGGTGTCTAAAACAGTGTGCATCTTATTTAAACACCTGTACATATATAGAAACTTGAAAATTAAACTGGTAATAGGAAAGTTTGCTGTAGCTGTTTACAATCTTTGTTTGTTTAGATCAACTAATAACTTTTTGTTCTTTTATGGTGGGGAGTCACTAGGAAGCAATTGTAGAAGGCTGCTTGCTGTTACACAGAAAGCAATTTAAGCTCTGATTGAAAAAGAAATAAAACTTTTTAATGGGATGTCAAGTTTTGCTGAAAATCACACCACAATTTCAAATACTGCAAAATCATGCCAAGTCCCAGCTTCGAGTTCTGTAGCACTTAAAGTGGCTGAAGAAGCAAACTTGTACTGGAAGGACTTCTGCAGTTTCAGTACAAAATCTGTTTTGTAGATACATCCATTAGGAAGAGGTAGGGATGGACTGAAATTTCATATGTGCAGGATGGAAAACTGATTGAAAAATATGTGGATTTCATAAATGTTTATCCTCATGTAAGAGGGTACTACCTAGTGCTCTGTGGGAGTCAGTTCTCTCTCTGAAGCATTTGATAACATTAATGTCCTAAATCATAAGATTCATTTCATCTGTTAAAGGTATACATGAGAAGCATGTGGGGAAAACTGCAGATGTGCTGGATTGTAGAAATAAAATGTGAAATTATCTTGACAAGTTGAACTTGAAATACATGATCCAGTATGCTGGGGACAAACAGGTGGTCCTGTACTTGATGGAAGAAGTGGTAGGGGAATATTTTGGATAAGTACTAGTTCTGCTGAAATTATGTCAAATCTGATTGTAAACTGAATGAGAAGCATCATAACATGTTGAATTAATTAAAATAAGATCACAGATAGAAAGTCCTTCTTCAGCTATTTAAAGCATGCACATAAGGCTTTAGTTTGACTATTGTGTTTGGTTTATTCTCCCTTTTAAGGAAGACAACTTTCTCTTTTACAGGCTCTACGGTACTTTCACATGGCAGAGGAAGGTAATACTTCAAGCTTGTTTTGGCTGAAAAGTATCTTTTGTGAATGATGACTTGCAGTAAACCGCTAGTTTTCAATAATACCTTAATAGCTGTAGCTATTAATAGCCAGGGGAACCAAACAGTATGGTATGATCGGCTGATAAATGTGTCAGCCTGGTGTACCAGCCAGCACACTGGACTTAGACTTGGTTTCTTCAGAGGTACTCAAAGTATGTTACACACTTACTAGTATCATTTACAATGTAACATGAAGGGTTTTTTCAGAATAAGTATTAAAGTGAAATTTGTACCCTCCTGAGTAACAAAGTACTCTTCCCCAAGGAATTCAACTGGAGTGCACCGGAAAGAAGAAATCAAACAAGAGAATTTTATGTTATTTTTTTCAAAATTTAGTTCTCTGTATTCTAAACAGAACAATAGAAAAAGCACACTTTTTGTTATTTCAGAAGTGATTAGGGTCAGAGTGCCAATCTAATTAGCAGTAAAAACGTCCACATGGTGTAGAAGAAAATATGAACCTACTATTTCTCCAAGAGTGAAGTCATAAGCAAAACTGACTTGCTGAAAGATAAAGGAGGAAAAGGAAAGACAGTGTTTTATGAAAGACTTGTACACAGTTAATCCAGTGAAGTTTAAAGGAAAAGCTCATTGTGTATCTTCCCCTGGCTGTCCAGTAAGGCAGCTGTGAGCTGGAACACTGAACTTCATCTCAAAATTTGCCTTTAAAACAGCTCCATATGTTTTGAACCCTGATCTTCGATCCAGCAGCAGAAAAAGCCTGCACTTATAAGTATGGACTGTAGGCAAGATTAGCCTTTAATAATGATTGATAGCCAAGCTTACTTAGTGAAAAGCTTTAAATCTCTCCTTAAAAAATGTTAAATGTGGGTACAAGTCATTTAAAGTTTTCTTTTGTGCAATGAAAACTAAACTGGTATCTTTATGTGCTAGGAAATGTTCCCTTTTTTCCCTTGCCTTCCCTTCCCTTGCTCAGCTGGTTGATTGCCTGTTGTACCTACTAGGTCCAAAAAAGCCCCAAATCTGCAAAACAATCTGTTATGCATTAAGCTCACTGCTGTGCTCTTTGTGAGGAATCTAGTTTCATTTAGTATATAACCTAACAAGCTGCTAGTTAATATACTTGTATATAAGACCAAAATCTAGCAAGTTTTACATTGGCTTCCTTCTGATCCAAACCCAAAAGACTTCCATTTTGTGCAATAAGTATCAAAGAGCTTTGATAATACTCATTCTCATGTAAATCTTTTCTCCTGTCTGTGCAGCCGATCCAAATTTCTACAGTAAAAATTTGCTATTTTTGGGGAAGACATACTTGAAGTTAAACAATAAAAAGATGGCTCTTCTCTGGTTAAGCAAAGCAAAGGAGTATCCTGCACAGACAGAAGAGGACAAACAGGTAGGAAACTAAGAACTGTCATAGTACAATCATATATTGTAACCAACATGTGACATCATGGCAATGAAATGTTTTATGAAGTTAACTCAGATGAAATTGTAGTTCAGCACCTGTTATTCAGAATCACAGCAGCACAAAAAAATTCCAGTATGTAGCCAATCACCCCTGAACACAGTGGCTGGAAATATTCTGTTCATTTATTGAATAGAACTGTTACCTTTCCTTCTTCATGATGTTTTTGTAGTGTTAACAACAACCCAGCCTTAGGTGTGTTGCTGAAGTTCAGGCAGGCACCCGAGCTAGCCTGTGTCTCTGTGAGCAGACTGACTTTTCATATGCCTAAAACTGGAAAGGTAGGAATCACATTTTGGAAGAGATAAAAATCACGGATGATCTGAATAGAGACAAATGGAGGTAATGTATCTTTGACAGCAAATCTCCAATGCAAGGTGGCATCAGGCACTTAATTACCCTTTGGAACTGCTCAGAAGGATCTTGGTTTGGATGGGTAGGCATCTACTTCCTACCTAAACATATACAGAGTACTAACTCATGGCTAATTGTTTTTTCTTACAGCTGATTGACCTCTAATTTGTTTAGCATTAAGCTACAGTGTGAGATGCTTCAACTGTTACAGAAATCATCCATATGAGCTATGACATTCTAATGTCCTAAGTGTTAGAAATACTTTGGCAGGATTTTGCATTTCAGACCTCAGAAAAAAGCGAGCTCCTTTAGTAACATCTTTCATTAGAAATAAGAGTATTGCGTTCCTCCACTGCCTTGTAAAATCTCTAGGAATTGAATAGCCTAAAGGAGTAGTGGTCTCAGGTGTGTATGAAATTGGTCAATTCTTTTGACATTTATTAGTAGCTGGAGACACGTGTGAAACCACTGATCCCAAAAGCTTGCCTTTTTTAAGAACCATAGAAAAGGAATGGTCGGGAGTGTATTCTGTGGAGTAGCAAAGTTGTTAAACCATTTATCTGCTGGAGCCAGTCATGGCCTCCTGGTACAAACATCCCTTTCCTGATCTCCTACAGGGGTGCAGAGCTGCTGAACTGAGAGAGGTGGTATTGTCTCCATTCTCTGGGTGAATGTGTAAAGTGCAGAATTCATTGGGTGCTAGCCTTGGTAGTCCAGTATGAAGGAAACTGGCCCGTGCAAAGAAATTTGAATTCTTGTCTCAGCATAACTAGGTTTTTTGAACATTTCTTACTACAGATACTCAGAGTTATCTGGCTTATGTTCTCTGCACTGCTTTCTCTGTCAGGAGAAGTTTGTTGAGTTGGAGGGTCTTTTTGTGGTTTGGGGGAGGGGGGTCATAATAAAATCGTATTAGATTTTACCCAGAACCCCATGGCAAAGTGAACCTCAGAAACTGTCTTCTCACACTCCCTTACCTGCTGTCCAGAGTCTTGGAAACTCTGGGTTGGTTGGGTATGGTCAGAGGTAGGACAACTTCCTACGTGCTACTATTGATTGGACTACAGCAAATAAAGAGCTAATCATCTGTATCTAACAGAAATAAACTTACTATTTATAGAATGAATTACACTGAGGACACTGGCTTAAGTGGGTTTATTCCTATTCATGTTTCAAGTATTGGAACATCTTGAACTACAGATGAAAAATGACTAGTCTTAGGAGGGTTCTGAATATACAGAACTGTGGTGAACTGTCTGGGTGCTTGTGTGGCAAGTTCTGCTAGAAGAACCTATAACTAACTGACACTCCTGTTACCATTTTATTTCTTTCAGGTACAGAAAGAAGCTTTGGAGCTACTTAATTCTATATAAGAAGAAAAAAGATATTGGGAATTCAGTGCCTCGGGTTTGAGCAGCATAGGAAAAAGGCCCCAAATACTACTTTGGTTTATTGAACCTATTAATAAAAGTATAGCCCAGACCTTCTATCTCCAAATCATTTCAATTACACTGTTAACTACAAGATGTTTCATTATGTGATCCTCTCTGCTGATTTGTATGGGAATGAAGGGCTTTATGGACAACCAAGGAATATATGTAGGATATATTAGAGGGAAAAGGCTGGGAGAGGGGTTGCACAGGATTTTAATTAAGTTTTTTACACTCTCAAACTGCAAGTTGCATATGAGGAATAATAAGAAACATGATTAGCAAAAGTTTAAAAAAGGGACAGGGCCATGACATAATTTTAATTCTGCAATTTTTTCTGGAGTGTTTTGCTGTGGGGTTCAACAGTCTTCAGAAGTAATAGACACTCACATTATTACCTGCTCTTACAGATTTCTCTTTAAGACTGCACCATCTTAATTCCAATACTCTTAAATGCTAGTGTTTGTCTTTGCAAAAAGTGCTGTGGTAAAACAAAAAACCCAAAACAAAACAAAAAACCAAAGGGAAAACAAACAAACAAAAAACCCAACCCCCCCACCACCACCACTAGGGAGCATCAAAGAAAATTTATGAGTTATATCAGAGTGATCTGTGAAATATGACTACTTACTTTTATATTTAAAGGCTGTGAATTCTGATGATTTTGTGACTGTAAATGCTTGCTGGGTACACATAATTTCCCCTACACTGTGACAACAGGAAGAATACACACTCCCACTACATTAGAAAGGAACTGCTATGTGGAAGCTTATGGACTTCTGTTTGTAAAGATAAAATTTTCTACTTGGTCTGCTACCATTTTAGAAGGAATTTTCACCAGAAAGTAACCTAAGTTACATATCCAGCATAGAAAGCATTTACAGACTTTCCAAACAGTATATTCTGATTACCCAATAGAAAAAGAGGGCCAAATAATGAAAATATGGTAGGCAATCAATTACATGTGGTGTTGTCAGTAGAACAATCTAGATCAAATTGACTATTAATACCTAATGGTTGTTTACTAGGAAAGGGTATTTCAATCTATAGGAGGAAGATGAAGAAAAGCATTGTTGCTAGGACTAATAAACTAAGCCTGGTCTAAGTCAGTAGTAAAAATTAACAGCTGAGAGAGAATCTGGGGCTTTAATTCTAGCCTTAGATTATTACACTAGTTAAAACGGGGTTTGTCCACTAGAGTAATTAAGTAATTTATAGTTTTTTTTTTTATTAGTATTTCCTATTACGATTTTCTATTATAAATATTTCTAGTATTTTCTATTGGTAGAGCATCCAAATGAAGTCTTCCGTGTGTCAATGTCTCAGGATTAATGATGTGTTTAAGAGAATTTTCTACATTCATATACTACAAAAACATTTGCCATACACAGATTTGCCTCCAGTAGCTCTGTGGCACAGGCACCTTACTTAGGTAGGAGGAAGGATATCCAGGTACTGAGTAACAACTGAGCGTGTAGTGAAAAGCAGCTCAGATGCAGGAAGAAAGGAACCAACTAAACCCACGAACTACACAGCTGCTTCTTTTAAGTAGTGTTACCTCAATGGTTCCCTTGTCTGAGCTCCAGCCTTTGCTGTCTTCTCTCTGTTCAGTCTTACTCACTCCCCCCCAAGTAGAGGCGAATTATGGGGAATTCAAATGGGAAAAGAAAATATTACAATGCAGTATTACTGAAATTCCCTGAAAGCCTAAGTTACCTGTACACACATGCACACGAGTATATTAGTTGTGCTTTTTTTCCTACAGAGCCATCTTTCAGTCAGTCCCTTGGTACCAATTCACAGATCATATACATGTACAGGAGGCTGCTGGGTTTGTTTTTTCTTGCTTACTAACCCTTACCCACAGGAAAAACTACTGCAGTTATGAGACAGCTAAAGTTATCGAAACAATAAAGCAACTACATTCTTGGGATGTGCTGTCTTTATTATTATTATTTTGTTCAGTTACTCACAGATTCACAAAATTCAGCAGTTGGTAGAGGGCCATTAAGTCATTCATTAGTGCAGATTCATGAAGTTTAACTGTGACATTTAGCCTTCCTCATTGTCTTTGAGGCAAGTCACACACTCTTCTGGTGCCTGGCCTTTGACTTTTTTTTTTTTTTTAAACTTCCTCTATTCTAACAAGCGTAAGTAATAATTAAAGTGGACTTGCACTTGAAATTAATTTAGTGCTACATGAAAGTGGTTTTGTAGAAGATATTTGGTGGTGTATGAAAAATCCTCAAGGTGGTTGAAATTCTCTAAGCTCTTACAGAAAAGTTCATGTAAAACAGCAGTCTGTTGGGCCCATTGCACTACCAGTATGACCAGAGCTATGCACAGATTAACAGCTCCACTGTAAGCTGTGCATACTGAATACAAAGCCTTGAGTCAATCCAATATGTAGAAAAATAAAATTTTGGCAGAATTCAGTTGCTGTATTGGAAAGATACATGAACAGATACAGCTGTTTTTTCACATGTACACTTTTAACAGTGCAATATGATATGTTACACAAGTGTGTTTAATCATACTCTAAAATCATTTTCATGTGTGTACAAAATTCTGTATAATTTAAATGTAATGGAATTTACAGTTAATATTTAAAGCATAATACAAACAGTGATTTCAAACATGTTTTTACTCTATAATAAGGAAGCACAGTTTGCTAAAAGTAGCATTTAATATAATTCCCATGAATAAGGTGTTAAATTTTAATATTTTTTTTTAAACACATCTTTGCAGTTCAGCAAATGCCCTCAATGCCAATAAAACTAATTTTAAAATGCTTTTATATTACTGTGCACTTAGGACAATCTTGGCCTACGTAAAAGAATGACAGGTTTTAGACATACTTAATTCAAGTACATCTAAATTTCTGTAAGAACTTTAGAAGATGAGAGCATTTAATACTAAATAATATTTTTATCTGTGCAAAGCTTAAGTAACTTTCATTTTATTTGGGTTTACTAGATCCAGTAACTGAAACTGAACATGAACACAGAAAGCAGCAAAATTCACATTACCTTTTGTATACCTTTTGTATACCCTTATAGCTCAGTTTACATTAATATAACTCTACAAAGTTACAAAAAGGACATCATGGATTAAAAAGGGAAACAAAAACAGGAAAAAAAAAAAAAAAAAGAAAAAAGAAACCTGCAAGACACCAGACCAGGAAGAGAATGGGTAATATTTTCTCTTTTATTATTATTTTTTCTTTGAAGATTACCTAACATCCTCGTGGTAAGAACCCAAGGTACTATGTAAACAAATCTCAATGCTGCTCAAATGAATTAAAATACTCTGTTCAGCTCTTTCAATAAGTCAGAACAGTGGCACCAACTCCTTTCAACATTAAATCACATTCATCTAATTGTACATGACTCTTGTGCAAGTAGTAAAGGCTTTATTCATGACCTTGGCTACATCAGTAGAGAGGGATATATCAGCTATTTACGTATTAAAAAAAATTAAACTGACAGAAGAACAAATTCTGTCATCTCAAATACCAGCAGCATCTTTCTATATATTTAGGATACGTTTGGCCTAAGCCTTTAACACCTTTTAGAATAGCCATGCAATAAAACAAACTTGGAGATGTTTCTTAAGAGAACACTGAGCAGTTTAAACATTTTTCTGAATGATAAAGCCAAGATAAAGCAAATCGAGGCCCTTTTAAATGGCTGCAACTTTTCATACACTTAAAGCTCTATAAAACTAGAGCCCATTAGTATATATATTTATATTTTTTATATATATATTTTAAATAAGTCTCTTGTCTGCTTTCAAAATTTATGGAGGGGCTTTTCTGGTCTTTTGGGAGGGCAATAAATAAAAGTAGAAAAGGCTGAACTGTTTTGCATATATTTGTGGAAGAACGGAGAACAATTAAACTTTTAGAGTTCCAGAAAGATCACTGTACAGAACAAAAAGCTTATATACAATTAAGTGTGCAATTTTAGTTGGCTGGGCCTTTTATTATGCAAGATATCCATTTTGACTAGAAGCTGCTTCTACTCTTGACCAAATCCCTCTGTTTCTTCAATGGCAAAAAGCAACTTCTCTTTTAGTTGTTCATAGCTTTTATACGGTGGCAAATCCAAACGATTAAAACTGAACAGAAAAAAACACAAAATTTTGTTAAATTTATCTAAATCCCATGTAGAGTTCTACAGACCTCAACTGCTATAGTAGAAGTTATAAATGTTCTGATCTAACAATTAGAAACAAAGAAATAGCAATCAGCACAATCTCACTGCCTTAACATTTCTACAAGCAGTAAATACTTAAAGAAATAAAAGACTGTTACCAGATAAAAACCAGAACCTTTGAAAACTGAAGACAGCCCAAGATACAGAGAACTATAATACTTAGCAAAAAATAAAATATAAACATAATACTTAGAAAACCCCTATAATACTTAGAAAATGAAAAGGAAATTTTCAGCATGAAGTTTAATATAATCCTAGTTTGATGCACCTCCAAATTTCAACAACAGTATGAACAAGCTGAACTTGGCTCCCTCCTACACATGCCTAGATATATGTTTTTCTCCCTAAACTTTACCCTAAAAGGCTTCTGCCAAAACTGTTTCGTTCCATGTCTTCCCTAAAATTATCAAAGATGAAGAGAGATGTTTAACTCCTGCAAACATCACCTAAAAAAAAATCTAGTGGAGAAAATGTAAAATGGAGGATACCCTGAAGTAGTTTAAAAGTATGACAAATATTATTGTCACAAGTTGCCAAAGGAAAGTGTGTCCATTTTGCATACAGGATATGTGAGAAACTGATCTGTGTACCTGTTGGCACCAGTTTGGGACAGAAATGCCAAGCCAATATTGGCCCATCTGAAGCCTAGGTGGGAAAAAGTATCAGCATTCTTGGCTAAGCATCCTTGTTTTGAACATTTGCTGTGATTTCTTTCACACTACTTCTTCTCATGACTGTACATTTTATCTTTTATAATATTACTGCATAATAACTGTATCTAATAACTGTATGTGTCTAATACTAACATGACTTGTTTAGGTATTTAATATTCTCT